AAAAAAAAAAAAAAAAAAAAAAAAAAAAAAAAAAAAAAAAAAAAAAAAAAAAAAAAAAAGGAAAAGGACATTTTGGTCATTTCGTACGGAAAAGAACAAAACAGAGAACAACCCCCCGTGTAAGGAAAAGGAAGGGGGGCTTTGTGTGAAGGGTATTTTGGTAAAAGCAGAATGACCATACTCCAGCACATCGTTTCTCGATTCGCTCATTAATACTCTCTCCAACCTTCCCTTCCTCGATTCAGCACGCACGATTCACGAGACGCTACAGCCTCACCCACCAATTATAAGAACAATAATAAAATCTTTTTTATTTATTTATTTTATTTATTTTTTTATTTAATTAAATTCAGGGGGAAGCCTCCATTTTCTTTTTCCTCTTCATTAAATTACATTATCATGTACCTCTATCTTAACTAAAATCATATATTATATCATTAATTACGTCCTTTCGAGCTTTTTTTTATTATAGATATGACACCTGAAGACCTCGACATTCACCTACATTTTCTGTGACATGGTCAGTCACGACAATTTCCTGCATTCCCGACAACATGGTCACTCTAGCTTCTGATTCTAGATTCGACACTTGATGCTCCGACGTTCTCTTGTATTCGCTATGATATGGTCTGTAACGACCCAGATTCACCATTATTAGATATTGTTCTTTTTGGGCTTTCCCTTTCGGGTTTCCCTGAAGGTTTCCACACCCTTATAAATGGTGGTTTGTTCCCTTCTGATTCTAGATTCGACACCTAATGACCCTAGCGTTCTCGTGCATTCCCTGTGACATGGTCACTCTAGTTTTTGATTTTGGGTTCGACACTTGATGATCTCGACATTCTCCTACATTTCCTGTGACATGCTCACTCTAGCATATGATTCTCGATTCGAACACCTGATGGCCCCGACGTTCTCCTTGCTTCTTAAGAGTGAAAACTATCACCACAAACCAACACGAGTTATTCTACCATGTTTCATACTCGCTCACATGCATCCAGAAAAATTTATAGAAGGTCACTCAACATAGAATTACTCAAAGAAAGACTCGTTTTACCATGAAGTTTTTATGATTGAGCCATCGAAAATGAAGGTGTACCTTGATGGTGAATGTTATACATCGTCTCTCGTAATCTATCTTTTTGGAGCTCATCGTTCTCGTTAGGGTTACCCAGCATCTTAGGCTAAGTTAGCTAGATAATTTTCAAGCCACTCGTATACTCAACATTAAAACACACAACTCTCTTATCAACGGTTCATGGTTGAGGATAAGCTAGCAAACCCTTAACCACCCCTACATGACAACATAATCACATCGTCTCATCTCACAATTCATTAAACATGTTGTGTGGCTCTTGTCTTGACAGATCACAAGATAAGCTAGCAAATCAACAATCGTGCCCACGTGGACAAACAACGACACCACATATTGAAAATCATAAAGTATACATATCTAAATCATCAATCCACTTTCCACAATCAATTTCAATCAATTCAATCTCATAATAGGTCTAAAATAAGACAAAACACGTTTTAAAACTACGAGGTAGATAGTGACACGTAACGGGCTAAAATGGACAATATCTCACTAGAGGTTGCCTCGGGTTGTTACAATTAATCGAACGAAATCGAACCATCCGAATTGAGGAAACGAGGAAGGTAGAGAGAGAGAGAGAGAGAGAGGGTCAAAGGCGTAGGCACACACAAAGTGAAGAACAGTGCACAGTCGTATTGATTGACCATATAAAAAGCGTACGGTTTGTTTGGATGTGTGTGTTTGGGTATACATATTGGTTTTCCATTCATTTGGAAGTGACAAATCCTTAAGTTTTCCCTCTAAATCACTGACGCATTCTCTCTCTCTCTCTCTCCATAGCTCTTCCAACCAGTCAACCATCAATTACTACTTATCGTTTTACGAGTCACGACTCAATCATTTCATCTCAAAAACTCGATCAACCCAATCTACCTTACTCGATTTCAAGTGGGTTCATGAATTCTCTTAAAACTAGCTTGACTTGAACCCAACCGAACCGAATTCGAGCATTCCCCACCACAATTGGGAACCGCCCTCGAACGCAAGCAAAACGCGCCAGTATCACAAAATGGGTTTATTTGCTAATTAAAAAAAATACATTTTTGTTTACCTACAATTTTATATATATATATATATATAATTTAATTTCATAATTATTATTTTTATTATTTATTCTCCCACACGTCAATAAATAAATATTTTATTAACTAAAATTTTATAGGTCCAAACAAATTCTTAAATATAACTCTACATTAAAATTAGCAATAAATTTAAATAAATACATTTAATTTCATAATTATTATTTATTGTCCGATGAGTCTTAAAAAGAATATATATATATTTTACGGATTAAAAACTTAATTTCATTAAAAACAAAAATTTGAACTTGGACGAACACTACTATAGCTCTCGTGGCTT